GCTGAGCCCAATATTGATATGAAAGCTGAAGCTTTCATTGCCAAGTACAAGAAACGTGTTTCAGAATCTGCACTATATCAAGTCGATCCGGCTGCTGAAAATGCATAATATGGAACCATATGTATATTTGTTTAGTTCTCTTGATTGTGATTTACTCATTAATATTGATTCTACCTTGTACAGGTAGAAATCATGTTAATAAATAATGATATAACTTATTGTTTTCATCTGTTTGTTTTGGTGTTCATATTGATCATCCATGTATATTGCCTGCTCTTCAGGGGCATTGTATTCTTCCTTCCTTAATGTTAATATATCTTTCACAAGGTCTTATAGCAGTTTTCTGATAATTAATTTCCATTACACATGTTGTCTGGCCTTATTAGGTCCTTCCACGATCAGTTACATTCCCTTGTTATGTGTCTGTGATTAAAGAAGTAAATGACACGGAGAATTATGGGTGAGGTTACTTCTTCACTTGGTGAATAAGAAAAAAGAAGTGATGTAAATGAAAGACTTTTTAGTTTGGCTTACCTTGTTGAATCCATGATGTGAGGGGTAACGTGACTAAGGTGACTTGGTTATTGTTGGAAATCAAGTAATCCCTGTCAGGTCGCAGGTGTTTATGTGAGTTATGTATTAAGTTCATGTCGTATTCCTAATTGGCCCAAATACCATAAGTTACATTATTCACCTAATTTCTTGAATATGGTGAATAATTAAAGGAAGATAATGAATTATTCAGTTTCTTGAGTGGGGGAAAAACTGATCTTTGGGAAATAATTAAGTGATTGCCAGCTTGTGGAATCCTACATGTTTCCGGGTGGAAGATTTTGCTTCCTTAAGGCAAAATATTGTACATTCTTCATGCATGTTTCTCTCTCACTTCCTTTTCAGGTTTGAGTTCAAGATGCAAAGTTCCTTTTTCTGTTTTAGCCAATCTTTATTCCTTCCTTATATTATCTACCAGATTTCTGCTTTTTGAGTGATTCAAGCTTCAAAATGAAGGCCAAGCTGAATGGAGGAAAAGGACTTCACAAATCTACGATTTTCATAAATTGGACGAGATAGATAGTGTTGGATACTAAAATAAGAGAAGTCTAGTGACAACTTTTGAGTGTTTATTATACATGTTTTTGATTAGCATTTAACACTCTTTTTGGATAAAAATATAAATATGTTAATGATATTTAACCCCAAAATATGAAAAATTAAGTGAATATAAGAATGTTAGAAATCTAATAATTTTTTTTTTTTTGTAAAAAAAATTGAAAACCAGAGAATTGCAGCCATGATCGTGGGTTTGCAGTCATAGCCATGAGAACTTAGAGTGCAATCAAGAAGTACCAAAGATTTGCAGTCATGGTCGTGGGTTTGCAGCCATAGCCATGAGAATTTGGAATGCAATCGGGAAGGTTCCAGAAACTTGTAGCCATGATTGTAGATTCACAGCTTGAGCCATGGAATACTGGAGAGCAAGAGAAGGGTCTAGAGAGTCACAACCATGGTTGTGGATTCTACAGTTGTGGCGTTGGCATTACTTAACCATGAAGGACCTTCCACATACATGATTGTGGATCATAGCTGCAGCGATAGGATTAAAAATTGGATTTTTTCCCCTTGTTTTGGAGGCCAATATAAAAGGGAAATGAGGAGTGAGACAGGGGAGGAGGAGAACATAATAGAGGAAAGCGCACGAAGGGAGACAAACAGAGTTGAAGAGGAGATCTCGAGGCTAGATCACTTAGAAACAAGGATCAACTCCATTTCTTTGTCTTTTTCTTTATAATTTCTTCTTCTCTTTTGGTTTTGTAATGACCATCACCATGAGTGGCTAAATCTTTTAGGATTGGTTTCGGTGTAAGTGTGTAACTACTAACTCTTCTTCTCCTTGATCATATATGCATTTCATTCTCATTACTTGTGCCTGATTCTTCTCTTAATACTTATTTCGGTTTGATCACCCGTTGTATGCCTTTTTGGTTTTTGAATCCTGTTTGAAAATGTTTTCGAAAACCCGAACTGAATCTCGCACCTAGGCATCTCTTGATCTAGGAATCAAATAGATTTGGCTAGCCACCTTTGTTCAAGTTGTCGTTCTTAATGCAAAGTGTTAATCTCAAAGCATAGAAGAATCATGTCTAGAATTAATCACTTTATGATTCAATTTTGAGGAATCTGGTTGAGTTAATTAATGAACATGGAAGTAATAAAACTGAAATCATATTTATTTAAAGAAGATCAAAGGGTTAGCAAGTACACTTGAATCCAATCCACTCTCTATACAATTGTTCTTCTAAGTTTTATTTTGTTGTTCTACTTCACTTCATATTGAATCAACTTTCAATCATATTGATTTTATTCTATAAATCATTAGAATAGAAATTACTAGTATCATAAATCCCTAAAGACGATACTAAATGACTACAACGAAGCTTGGTTCGTTTGCCAAAGATAGTGATATAAGTGTTTCACCAACAACTAGTTAGTAATGATAATAGTCGGGAAAAAGACTATAGGAATGAAAAGATACTGTCTTACAAACATCAACACAGTTAAATTTATGTGAAACAATATCCATTAAATCGATACCTCATGCATAAATAGTAAAAAATACAGCAGAAACAAAAAATTAAAATAAATTATAGGACAAAAAATTAAGCAAAAGTTTAATAAAAAACAAAAACAAAAACATATATATTACATAGAATAAAATATATTTAAGTCATTAAAATAAATGTGTAAAAAAATATGAAATTAATTTTAGAAGTGATATAATTCAATCATATAAAATTAACTTGTCAACCGAAAATTGCTTTCACTTATATTATATTTTAACTATATTAGTAATCGATGTAAGATCTCAAACACACATTTTATATCTATGACTAAACATCTCAAATATAAAATTTGTAAGAATAGACATTTGTGAATGATCCAATAATAACCTAATAACAAGTGATAGGATAAACTAACAACTATTACGATAAACTTTGATATCATTTTAGAATAAATTTTTTAAACATAATTCAATCTTATAAAATCACTTGTAAAGTAGTAATTGTATCCACTTATATACTATATATATATA